TTTTTTATGAAAAATGGGACATCACCACATCTACTAATCAGACTTCTTCAACCGCGGTCACTGAGGAGATGTGGTGGTCTCCGAAATAGCAGCTATAACTTCTACCTTTTGTAAATTATTGTTGATTTTCAATAACATTTTTCATAAGAAACGGCCTCAAGCTCGATAAAATTGTTGAATATAATTGCTATAGGGCCATAAATAACAAAAAAAATCTGAACGAATAATAAATTTAAGGTCAGTCAAACATACCGAAAGAAGGTCGGAGAGTCTGCTTAAAGTCGATGTTTAAAACATCGGTAAAACTTCCATCGATGTATCGTCAATTTCGCGATGTTAGTAAATTGTAAACATCGATGGCAAACATCGAAAATTGAACCGATATTATCGATGTTTCAAAAACATCGATGCATCGTTTGCATCCCTAGTTTCCGCACCGAGTGGTAAATAAACACTGCCGGTAAAAAGTATTTGCGCAGAGAATTTTTTGCAATGTATGCCACAATTTTCGTGTAATTGTTTTTGCTAATTTTTTATAAAAATATGGTTCATACTACAACAAAGAATATAATTTCTAAATATTGTGCTAAACTCGGGAAAATTCAATAAATTTTCATGCAAATTTTCAACTTTTTAGTCAGGATTTTTAGAATTTTTAAAAAAAAAAAAATTAACATCGAAGAAAAACATCGAAGCAAAAAATCGATGTTCGAAACCCTTAATCTTGTCTCAAAACATCGATGTTTCACCAATATCGATATCGATGTTGCAGGCCTAGAATAAATAACAGCAAAGAAATGTCTGTTTCGCTTCATGCAAATTGTGCACAAAACAAAACTCAACTATGTTAGTTCAACAGATCAACATGCAATCAATCGAATTGGATTTTAATATATGCATACCAGGGATGTTGAGAATATTTGCATTCGCATTCGTTATGCGAATGATTTACATCATTTTACACATTCGAATTCTACATTCGCATTCGCGTAAAATGATACAAATGCTTTGCGAATGCAAATGTGTACGTGGGCAGAGAGTCCACTCTAATATTGTTGAAATGGCTCTAAGTCTGTCTAACCAGAGTGCGGACAATAACCGGCTTTTAGCTTCAGGCGCTAAACGGTTAAGTAGTATATCAACCAAATTGATGGGTCTTCAACAAGTACTGCTAAAAGTCTTATAAACAATCTAGAAATAATTTTAGATTCCTCCAGTGAAAGCGAAGGCTCGGATGTAGAATCTGGAGGCATTAGAAAATGTGAAAGCTCAATTGAAGGCCCTTCTTAACTAAAAACGAGCTTATCTCGATTGGTGGAAAACTAAACTAAAATACGACAAATGGACAGATCTGGCCCGCAAATATTTGAGCGCTCCACCCGCCAGCGATCCAAGTGAACAATTGTTCAGTGCAGCCGGCCTTATATACGAGCCTCTAAGAAATCGGCTCATGGAGGCAGCAAAATTACTTTTTTGAAATACAATATGCCCCTTTTGAATTTTGATTACTAGATTAAAACACTGTATAGGTAAAGCACTCTGCGCAATATGTTTGGATACAGCAATCAAAGGGAGATAGTTTTGCGCGTGCACAGGTTTTTCATGTATTATTTAGTATCTGTGAATATATGTGACGAATACATTCAGGCGAGTTTTACGTATCCTCGGTAGGGTTTGAAAAAAAATTTGAAGGGGATTATTCTACTCTGGGGTGCTTAAGCCCCTTTGTTGGCGAGGTTTACTTATACAAACTGAAACTTTATGATTGAGTATTAAAGTTTTATTTTAAAGCTACCAGGAAATTAAAAACCCGTTTTGAAAATTTGTAAAATGATTAGCACTTTATTATTTTGGAATGTTTAATTCAAACATATATTTCCATTTTTCGCTGAGTATAAATTTACTGACTAACCTGGTAAAAACGAATAAATAACTATAAAGACTCACTTAAAATTGTAGTGATCTTTATACACCGCCCGAACAAAGTATTGGCACAGCAAATTTTTCATAATATATGCAACAATTTTTATTCTAATATTTTTTTGCCAATTTCGTATAAAAATATGGTTTATTCAACAACAAAAAACACAAAAATATAATTCCTAAGCTTTGTGCTATACTCGCGAAAATTCAGCAAATTTTCATCAAAATTTTCAACTTTTTAATCAGATTTTTGACAATTTTTTTGAGTATGCAGTTTTGCAGCCCATTAAGTTCTAGTGATAAAATGCAAGTTAGGAGTTAGTCAAAAATCGCGTTGATTTTTGAGAATTTTTTTTGTTGAAGGTGTTTTGCATTTTTTCCATATAAAGTATTTTCGAAAAATAATTGTTGTATGGAAGAGACTGTGTGGAAAAAATCAACGGTAATTCCTTGCTACTTAAATCTTGCACTTTATTATAAAAAAATTCATTGGGCTACAAATCTGCATACTCAAACAAATTCTAAAAAATCTTCTTAAAAAATTTAAAATTTTCATGAAAATTTGCTGAATTTTCGCGAGTTTTGCACAAAGTTTAGGAATTATAATTTTATGTTTTTCGTTGTAGAATGAAACATATTTTTATACGAAATCAGTGGAAAAATATTAGAATGAAAACTTTTGCATATATTGTGAAAAATTTGCTGTGCCAATACTTTGTTCGGGCGGTGTATAATATTCGCAATGTTTTTCATTTGGTTTTTTTCGCGTATTTTTTTTTATAAAAGTAAATTAAATTAAAATAAAAAAAGATATCAACAAATTATCATTACAATTGCAAACTTTTCAGCTAAAATTTCTAGAAATACGCATGTAAAGCTAAATATATTATTTAAATTATCCCCAGAGAAGAACTCTTAAAAAGCATCTGCGCGAAATTTCTACAATTTAATTTATTATAAAATTCATGAAATCTGTGTTCGCATGGAAAAGTAGCTTATGTCGAAGGGCTGGATTTAGTATAAATCGGCATTCGCAGCATGTGATTGCGAATGATTCACAGGCACTAAGCCGTTGAACAACGTTTGGCAAATAAACGTGCCAGAAATAGTTCCGATACTAGCAAGTCAATATTCTTATTAAGTCTCATCGAAAAATTTCTTCTCGTTTAAAGAATAAAGGGAATGCCGCATTATACTAAAGCCAGCCTTTCGACATAAGCTACTTTTCCATACGAACACAGAAATTAAATGAAAACTCAAAATTCTCTGTAATTTCCCTTTAAGCTCTATATCTTTCCAACTAGTAGCCGGAGCTCAATATATAAGGTATCCTTGGAAAGTTAATAACCTATAGAATACAGAAAAAGGCAAAAAAACGTGTTTTGTTTCACAACTTTAAGCCTAATTCTTAAGAATTCGGATAATCGTTTATGAAGCTTAAATACATTTTGTGGACACACTCTGAAAGACCTTTCCAACAAATCTCGATAACAAATCTCATGTATATATAAGCGAGTCATTTCAGCATGCGACTGTGGCTGCTTTCGTCACTCGCGCGCACTACCGTGCGCTGTGATAAAAGAAAATTTGCATGGATTACAATTTTAGACCGTCTTCCCTAGTATCTTTTAAAATTTATCTGCCTTTTAACATAAATTTTGTTTTAAGAAAATATGTTTGAAAAACTTAAAATTAATGTTTAAATTAACAGAGATTTATAGCTCATTTCCACCAAAAGCGTGAAGTTTTGCAGTTAAGAGGCCTGCTAAGTTCCAAGAATTTTAAAATGGGGTGATTGGAAAGATTTATTTCTTTCTTTCTGACTTTCTTTTGCCTGTACTTAACAATAGATTGGCGCTTACAAATACACTTGTGATCAGCTAATTAAGCCAGCAACATTTTGATAAATTTTGGCTATTTTGCTTTCGTTTATTTAATGTTTATTAATTTTCCATAAAAGTCTAGCTCATTATATAACAAACACCATATAAATCTAGATTTCGAACTTTGTGGAAAAATTATGAAAAATCTGCAAAGTTTCAGCTAAATTTTCAACTTTTTATTCAGATTTTTTTTTTGAGTATGGAGTTTAATAACCCATTAAATTCTAGGGTAATAATGTGCAAGTTTTAAGTTGCTAAAAAATCGCGTTGAGTTTTAATATTTTTTTTTCTGACTGCATTACAAATTTTTTTCCATACTAAATAAATTCGACAAATTTTTTTCCATACAAAATAAATTCGAAAATTTTTTTTGTATGAAAAAAATGCGTCATCAAGTCAGAAAAAAAAAAATTATTAAAAATCAACACGATTTTTTAGCAACTTAAGACTTGCACATTATTACCCTAGAATTTAATGGGCAATTAAAGTGCGTAATCAACAAAATTATGAAAAATCTGAATAAAAACTTGAAAATTTAGCTGAAACTTTGCAGATTTTTCATAATTTTTGCACAAAGTTTAAAATCTGGATTTATGTAGTGTTTGTTATATAATGAGCTAGACTTTTTTGGCAAAATTATAAACAAAAGAAACATAGCCAAAATTTATCAAAATCTTGCTGGCTTAATTAGCTGATCACAAGTGTATGTTGGTGTTAGGCCGAGCTTCTCCTACGATTTGTGGCGCGCGCCTTGATGTTGTCACACAGACCGAAGGTCGACAGCTATTTGAAAAAAAACGGTTTCTTTTTTTTTATGTTAGTCGGGACCTTGGCTTGAACCCAGGCGCTGCGGAGTGGTAGCGCGCATAGCTAACAACTACACCACCACCTTTTTCCAATAAGCATAACCTGCAGTTAAGGCTTGGCGGAAGTGAACTCTTATACCTTTTCTTGTGGATTTTAAAATTGTTATCAGCAGAAAGGACATAGAATACATATTTAGTGCAAATATAATGAACAATATATGGAAAGTGAAATTCAACCACTAGTTTTAACGAAATCCGCTTTAGAATGTGAAAGAAATAAATAGCTTTTTTATATTGATCCACAAAAAGGCCAAACATTTAGATAAACGTCTTAACTATCTTTTACTACATAAATTAATATTTTGGTTTGCACATAATTTCAGGTATATTGCTGTGACGCGACCTATAGAATATGCAAAACACAGAAACAGTCCACGTGTTTGCCTGACAATCCTGCTAGCCTGGGCGATATCAGTGGCTATCGGCTTGCCCATAGTGATGGGTCTCAACAACACGCCTGATCGTGACCCGGGACTGTGTCTATTCTACAACACAATGTTTATCCTTTGCTCATCACTCACCAGTTTCTACATTCCGTGCATCATAATGGTGTTTTTATACTGGAGTATTTTCAGGGTAATTAGGCAAAAGCTAAAATTTATTTTTTTCGAATTCCTCAAAAATATGCAAACACATACAGCTATTTCATATTTTTGTGCACTTACTAGCATATTTTTGCATGCACTCCTCTTTGATTTCGCATAGTGTAATATTATAATATGTTCCTTTCTTCCTCCGCCTTTTGTGTCCTGTCACGAACAATAGGCATTAAGTATCCGAGCACAAAAAGCTCGTGCTGCCCGGACGCCGCACCTCTCGGAGTTGACGGGTGGCAGTGTCATTGAGAATGTGGCACAGACGCGTCGACTTGCCGAAACGGCGTTGGACAGCGGAAGGCATGCGGCCCGCATTATACCTGACGAGCCGGCGACGAACACAGCGTCCGGGTCGAATGAAGAGGAGGAGGATCCCGGAGGTGGTGCCTTTTCTCCGGATATCGACGACTGCCACGTCATCGTCAATGACAAATCCACAGAGTTTATGCTAGCCACCGTTGTGGAAGAGACCGGCAAGTAAGTCACAAAGAGACATAAAAATAGTTATAATAGACTCTAGTTAATTACAAATACACAGAAATAAAACAAAAAGTGCAAACAAAAGAAATACAATGGCGGATAAAGTGAAATAAATTAAAAATTTTGATGGCCACAGTAAAAACTTAGTAATCAAGCATGGATAATTGAAAGGCGTACCACGAGTGGTAGATAGTGTCCCAAGGCCCAATGTGTTTACTAATAAACTGAAGAGCAATGACGGCTCATCATTGATTAAAGTTTTTATAAGAGGTAACATTTCATTTGCGCAAATCAATAGCAAGTTAGAATGGTTAACCGCAAAAGACTTTCAAGATATTGGAAAGGCTGAGGTATTGCAATATGTAGTGTTCAATTACCCATAATCATTCAGAGCCGAACTAATAAAAAATCGCAGAAATCTCCGTTTCCCCGCCCACTGAAATAAGTCATAGGTGCACAGACAATAACTAGGGCAAAGAAAATAGTATATCGCTCAAAAATTGAGTTAAGTATGCAGAAATCACGGCTTTTTCGTCTAAATGTTGTCGACATATTAACCCTTCGCTCTTAAGAAAAACAGAGCAGATAGTGATATACAATGGCGTAGCCAGGATCTTATCTAAGGGGGGCAACGAAATTTACATACTTGTTAATTTTTTTATACATTTTTATTTAACCCTTTTTACGCTAATAACAAACGTCTCGGATTTTCTGAATCATCTCGCGGTTTTCGGTAACGAGTTTCCTATGGACGCTCATGAGTCATAATCCGGAAAGCCTTACTTCTCCTGTTGTGCTTCTGAGCCAGGTTTTTACTCTACGAAGGGTACTAAACGATCGCTACACAGTCGCTGTTGTGCATGGAAAAGCGCTCAAAAGGGAAAGTACACCTATTTATCGCTTCAACATCCTTTAAATCTTCTTCGGACTACTTCTTTTTCTGTTTCTTCCATAAATTGTACCAAAGAATAAGTTCACTGCTCATAACTAGATCATAAATCTGTTGAAAATGCTTCGCGTTCTTTTGTACCTTTTCACTGGAAAATTTAAGTTCTATCCAGAATTACAGCGGACGACGGTAAAGTGGTTGGCGGTAAGTGAACAGCCGTCAGTTGTCATTTTGATTTGAAAATTTTCATTAAAATTAAATATTTTTGCGGTACCTGGAAGAAAAAATTGATGAAATCATCGGAAAAGTTGTGAAAATAATAAAAATTAGTACAATCAACACTCGAATGGGTTTTTAATTCAATTCTATACCAATTCAATGCCTAATGCTGTGCTTACTTCATTGTATCAACGATGAAAAACGCAGGCTTATGTGGAAAGTGAGAGCATAGTTACGAATTCGATATTGTAATCCTTAAATTATATGCGATTACGATTACTTTAATTGTAATCATAAATGGTACCACTATGATTATAACAGTTGTAACCTTAAAAATTTAAGGACTAAGATTACTGTAATCGTAATCATGAAATACAATTCTAAGGGGAAACCGCACAGGCCTGTGTTATTTTGGATTATATTCTTGGATGTGAAATAACGCGTTTTCCAAAATTTTTTAAGCAGATTTGCGCTCCAATGTAACGAACATACTTATTTTAAGCCATTTTACAAAATCTTTTATCAAGATAAAAGCATATACATATACTTATATATCTAGCAAACAAAATGACATATGGTAAGCAATAATTTTCGCCTGGTGGTTAGTTGAATCAAAAGTTAACATCATTTAAATGAAAGTTGAACAATGTAAACGCTTTTTAAATACAATGATTGTGTACGATTAGGAAATAATAATATTCTGAACGGAATTTTTTGAAAAGGAGGGCATTTTACCTCAAAAGGAGGACATAGAAGGACAAATCACGTTTGAGGAGGACAATCCTCAACACACAAACTCTTGAAAAACCAAGGCAAAAACCACCCTAATTCCTTTTCAACTGCAACCTTTGCGGACGTTCTTTGACCGCTTGCGATCATGTTTAAAATCATAATAGTTCAATTTTAGCATTTTTATATGATGAAATGCTGTTTATATTTCCATTTTATGTGCTTTTCTTAGTTATTTTCACGTATTTTTTATGCAGTAAATTACCGCCACTTGCATATCATTGGAATTTTATAAAATGGTCTATTTATAATTAAATTCTAAAAATATTTTTGAAACTTTTTCGATTTTGAAATTTACGGGACAGTCCAAAACTTCATAAAGTATAATTTGTTTTCAAAAAAACTCATTCTAAGCCTATGCTTATAATTCAGGTTTTTAGAGTGATGTCAAACAATAACTCCCATGAACCATTAACTAAAGCCAAACGCTTCAACCACGAAGCAAAAAAATTCATTTGGTTGCCGCACAAGTGGTTTCCAAATACAATCAAACAATGGGTGGCGTTGATCTACAGTGAAGCAGCTTAAGTACCAAACAATGATGATTAATAATAGAAATTAATCAAATAATTATAATCGTGTAATTAAAACAAGTAAAAAATAATTGAAAATGAGCAAAAATAACAAAATAATGATGTAATTAAAATTAATGAATTAATTAACGTTTTTAGCGTATTTAATTATTACTCATTAAACGGTTATCCAAAGCAACATGCTTTAATTAATAATCATTATGAATATTAATCATCAGGGAATGGATTTTTAGGACCTAAAAATCTATAAAAAAGGCAAAATAAAATAACGAAATAGGCTGGAAAAGGCAAAATAAAATAGCGAAAAAGGCAGGAAAAGGCACTTGGTATTGCAAAAAAAGCAAAATAAGGCACAAAAAAAGACATAAAATACGAAGAATAATCAAAAAATACATTTATTTTAGAAATGTTTATATTACAAGTAAAAAGAGAAAAACTATGAACTAGTTTCATTATATGAAAAATTTGTACTTTGAATCTTTGACTATTTTATCCTTTCGAGTTTCTAACTCATAAAACTTTAATCTGTATAGTTGTAGTAACATTGAACCGCAAGATGCATTTTGAAGTTTTCTGGCAGCATTTTCATTCGATTTTCGCGAAGAAAAGCCTTGAATGTACGAAATGTGCGCTCGACGTAAGTTGATACAAGTGGAGCCCAATTTAAATATGGAACGTTTGAAACGTTCATATTATCAGGAATAAGGGCGTTTTCCTCGCCCTTTACAATTTTATCCACACTCCTTATTGTCTCCAAGCCTACGTTAGCTGAGAAAACGGCTTTGAATTTTTCCAACAACAATTTGGCAAGAGGTCCCTGCGCTTCTATAAGCCGCATGGGCATGTGAATATTTTTTAATCTTAAAAAAAAAATTGTAAATGCTATAATGACTTTTGTAAAGGTAGAAAAGGCAAAAAAAGGCAAATATCTTAAAAAAGGCAAATATCTTAAAAAAAGCAACATCAAATGTGTATATATGGAATCAGGGAAAGCTAAATCGTGGACATTCTTAATCGAATATAATCTATCTCTTTAGCAGAAAAAAGGCAATTTCCATGAAATCCGTTCCCTGTTAATCATTATTCAACAGGTCTTGTATGTAGCATTTTCAGTTTAAATGAAACCATTTTAAAATTAAGCGAAACCTTTTTCAAATTAAATGAAACCTTTTTCATGTTAAGCGAAACTTTTTTCAAATTAAATGAAACCTTTTTCAGAAACAACTGAAACTTTGTTCAAATTAAATGAAACTTTTTTCAAATTAAATGAATCTTTATTCAAATGAAATGAGACTTCTTTTTTGGATTACTTTGAATTAGCTCTCCCTTACGGTCAAGGCATGTTAAATACAGTGTTGCCGTTTCGGTCCAATTGGACCAAAATTGGTAGTTTCATTTCTTAAAATAAGGCTTTGGTAGGTTGGTTGGTTTGTTGTGATTTTCGAGGGGTTTTGGTAACTAAGCAAATCATTAAATTAATTCCTCTTATAAAACTTCAAATATCTCTGTTTTCGGGAGTACATGTAAAGGATGGTGTGAAAAGGAAAAGAGAAATGGGACATGTCAAAATTATTCTTGAACCGAAGTTGAATGTTGCCGTGATTAGACTGTGCTCTAATCCATAGAGTTTGTTTAAGTTAAAAGAAAATAATTAGACAATTAATATGCAAATGCCAAATTTTACATTTCGCTTAAGCGAGTGAGTGAGAAGGGAGAGTATTTGTACTTTATTTGCCTCTTCTCCCTTAAGAAAATAATAGTTGACAGCTTTGAATTCGTGTAGCAACAGTAAAAATATTCTCCCAGTTAAACATCATGATCGGCGTTATCGACTCCCTGATATAAGTATGGCGTCGATAACGTCGATGTTATGGGGAGTTAAGGCTCTGTTACGTACGTGTTTTTACGTCGAAATCAAAAACCAACAGACTTCTACGTATGTAATGCTGTGTGTTGGGTAACAGCTTACACGCGAAGCTCATTTAACAGATTCCTTATGTGACAACTCTCAAGCAATGCCAAGTATGCATAACAGAGCCTTTAGTGTTAGCCAGACATGGTGCAAACGGCCCTTACTAGGTTAAGTTGATTTCCTGTTCCCTAATTTAAAAATGTTTAATACTTAATTTGAATAAAGTTTCATTTAACTTGAAAGAAGTTTCATTTGGTTTGAATAAAGTTTCATTGAATCTGAAAAAAGTTTCATTTAATTTGAATAAAGTTTCATTGAATCCGAAAAAGGTTTCATTTAATTTGAAAAAGGTTTCGCTTCATCTGAAAAAAGTTTTAATTAATTTGAAAAAGGTTTCGCTTAACCTGAAAAAGGTTTCACTTAATTTGAAAAAAGTTTCATTTAAACTGAAAATGCTATAATTGAATACATACTCCCTTTAATGGTTTACAATATACCCAAATAAAAGTTATAATATTTTGTTTACTTTATTGTATTAAACTGTCGAAGTTAAAACAGGGCATGAATAAATAGTTTGTACTTGGTACAAGTCTGGTAATTTTCGAACTAGTTCGGTTTCAGTCAGGAAATTCTAGTTGTAAACTAGTATTTTTCC